GGAGTAAACTTTAGTAAGCAACTTTTGAAGGATGATTACTAACTGCTAATGAAATGCCATGAATGCGGTTTCGTCCATCGTATCCTTTTATGCTTTTTGATCTCTTTCTCTACTTCACTCTGCGTTCTTCTGCTGGTATGTCAACTGAGGAAACATCTTTAAACTTACCATTAGCCCATCGAAAAGAAGGTGAACCTGGGAGTTACCGTTTCTAGAACGGCGACTACAGAACACCCACCCTATCAGATCTTAGCAGGCGACTTCACGTCTTTGATTGAGAACAGGGATTGGAGTTATGGAACTCCCTCCAGACCCTCTTCTCAGTCAGAGACGTTAAGATCTTGTGCTGCCTGCTAAGATCTTATGCTTTGTCCGTTGCACCGATCTCCACAGAGGTACTGCGCTTTACGGAAATCCCTTGACCTTGTTCTCATTTAGAGACGTGCAGTTCATCCAGTCATGTCTGTATCGTAAAAAAATCTGGTTCAATGGGTGAAAGTTTCTGGGGCAACAAAGAACAGCTGAAGTAATACTACTTGTAATAAGCAAGCAAGTTACAGAACTTCTCCTTACCATCGGAGAAGGGCAATCGCTAGGAATTCCGCAACATTGGAACTGCTTGTTTTGCTGGCTGAACTGGCAAAAGTAACCGGCAGGGCAGGAGAGTTTAGCAGAAGTACAGACCTAAAAATTCCAGACTAGCCCGAGCATGACGAAAAAAACGCAGATACCTGAGGTTTGCTTGTCGCGACGTCTAGATACGCCACTTGCTTAGATGGGCAGCCGTCACCTGAAATTATCGGGAATCGTTCCACGAAATCTCAAATTGAGGTCATAGAAACTTACTTTCTAGCGATGGAGGAACGGGATTCGCACCACAGCACTGATATCGCTGAGTACGAATTGACCATTGGCACGTGAAACCGTTCGGGCAGCCATGATTCGATGGATTGAACGGGTCGCATTTGGCGATCTTTAATTACTTTTCAAAGGTAAAGTAGCAGAACCAACATTGTTTTTCAAAGTCTGTCTTTCATTTTGGAAGCGCGAGCAGTAGATGACGAGCAACCCTGCATTTCACTTTCTGTTTGGTTTCAACCTGGTTCACCTTGATATCTTTTTAGTTGCATAATACCGAAGAACATACAGTACCCATTCTCAAGAGCTTAGAGAGCTATTTCGTCACAGTCTGAGGAATAGCCATAGAATCGATGAAGAGCCCCAGAGCATGGTCAATAGTTTGCAGGAATTTTGTGGCCTACACGATTCAGGATGAGCATTGTTGAAATTCTCCTGCCTTCGAGGTTCTCTGGTGGAACCCCTCCACTAAACTAATGGCCTAACGTTTCGACGTCTTCCGAGGCGAGGCTCCACAGATAAAGATCCGCTGTCGTCACAGGCGACTGTCAGTAACGAGTTCGCTCCGTTTCAACGGTAGACCCTAGTCCCTGAAAGTGATTGCGTCGAAATATTTGGCCCCAAACTACAAAAAGTTCCACTCAAAAACCTCGAACGACTGAAGACTCTCAGCAACGCAAACGACATAGAAATCTTGAGGACCAGAGCTCAGTGGGTCATTCGACTGGATAAAACCTTATCCATATCCAACTTATAAAGAGAAGCGAAAAAAGGAGAGATCTGTTTTCCGCGCCGGTTCGAAACTCCTTCATTCGTTAGCTGCTCTGATTATGAAGGTCGCTCCTCTAATCGGCAAGGGACCAGCAATGGAAAAGAATTTGCTTTTACCTCATTCTTGTCCATAAAAACGACTTCACCTGGTGGACATCCATCTGAAACGCCCAGATGCGTTTGGCCTCTACAAAAAAAGGAAGTCATCTAGGGATACAATATGTGCTAGAACAAACTGACCGACAACAATAGCCATTTACACTTTCCGATTGAGTCATACAGGTAAATCCTGAAGGGCAAGTAACGAAGTGACCAACGGAGCAGGACCGTGGCATCGCTGACGCCTCATCCACATAGTACTCCTCTTTGTGAGGGCAGATATCTGGAAACATTGGTTGGTACTCGACATCCTTCAGCGCCCTGAGTGAAAGTTACCTGAAACGGAGCAGCAATACCCTTGTAGAGCATCCCGAACGTCACTTTGGCATTCGAAACCGTCCGGGCATGTGGAAACATGAGCATTCATGGTGCAGCGCATTGCCTGCAAACTCATTTGGTCCTTGTAAGGAGCTCGACCAGGCGGGCAGTGATCTGAAATAATGTTTCAAAGATTCAGCAACAATTATTAGCTGGGACAGCTACTTCTCTTGGTGGATCCACAACAGAAGTAGCGATTTTTTGTCGGATTGAAACGGCACAGATAATTTGTGGGACAAGAGTTCGGCTCGTTGATTAGGCACTCGCGCACGGTCATGTCCACCGCGTTCAGATAGGCCTAAAAGCTGTTGTTCGAGTTGAATGCTAATGTAAGAAGACCAGAACGATAACGACTCGCCTTCTCGCCATCTGGACATACTCCCATATCTGTAGCTCCACAACATACATTGCTATCAGTGAGACTGTCGAAAACACACTGCAACATTGATCTTGACACTTCCTTGGGCCCCTTGGGCTTTCAAAGCAAAACGCCTAAGTAAACCTACCTGGAAATTCTTCGGACAGTTGTTCTGGATTTCGTCATTGCAAGAGATTGGCGTCTGACTATTTGGATTTAGGTACACGACGTCACCAGCTTTGCAAGCTGAACTTAATCAAATAGGCTCACGTTCCTCCTCGATTTCGACATTTTGGTGCGTTTGTATGAGATTTCGGAGTCAATTTAGAGGCACAAATCGCGATAAAACTGGCTCGAGAGTTATCATGAGAGGATTAATCTGTGGCCGGGCCTAGATAGGGCGTTATAAAGGCTCAAAGATTGTCCCGCGTGTATACCCAGACGGTTACAGCGGCATAGTAGAGGCAGCACCATTCACAGGGGGTGTGTGTCGTTTCGCGCGACCCCTCCCATCGCACCGGGCATCCGACGCGGTTTGCGAGCTGGACAACTCGTCCAGGTGATGGAGCAACCCACTGCCCATCAGCCGATAGAAGTCAAACGACCTCCTACCTTTACAGGGCACCCAGAGAGTGCAAACAATTTCTCATTAACATTAGCGACAGTAAAAGGCAATTCTGGATAGTTTTGACTTGGTGTAGACACTTTTTTGCGCAATTACAACAGCTGAAATCTCGCCCAAATACTCCTTTCATGTCATTTCCTTCATGGTAAAACATTGTACAACCTCTACTCTCGCTTCTTTTTAGGAGCCATTTTCGGAAAACTTTCGCGAATTTTCTCGCTTCCTTCACAACCGATGCATTTTTCCCAATCAATGCTTCCGCTTTTCGACTTGAAAGGGGTACCCCGAAATGATCGTGAACTGAGCCGTTGAGTGTTGCTTGAGGCGCTGTGGTGCTGAATTCATCACGTTCGGTATTGAAACCCTTGCGACGGCCCGCCGCAATGGCTACAATACCCAACGGCTTACATTCACTCACACTTGATTTCTTGACTACGTATGCAGCACCGGAGGTGCGGAGTAGACCGAACTGATAATTTCTCAAAAATTGTCATGATAATACCGGAAGCCGTGCAGAAATTGTTGCACTGATTCAATGATGCGAAGTTGTTCGGATTCCCATCACATCCATTGAAAGCGAAAGGTGAGCACTTTTTTGTGACGATATTGAAGTAGTATCTATAAACTCTCTAATTCTTGCTCTGTTCTAAGAGTATAGGTGTAAAATCTCCCTACCTGGTGACGCTATAAACTCCTCCAGAGCATAGCGATGATCCCTGTTGCGGTGGAAGAGCACAAATGTAGGCTGAAGCAATCACGTTAGACACAATCGGCATTAAGGAGCTTTAACAACTCACATTTCGTGGGGCAGCAACGATGTGAAACAGAATCCGGTCCCAGACTAACGGCGTAGCATTCGTGCGTAGAAGGACAACCACCTGTCCTCTCTGAGCATGTCTGGATGGCTCCTGAGCTGTCGCGCAGAGGCACACCACCGTTGGCACAACCTGTTTGAAAATTTCGCTATTGGTTTTTATCTACTTGGCAAGAATTCATAAAGAACACTTGAAGCGACACTTCAATATCAGCACTGCACAATAAATAGAGTTTCCTGACTTAGTAACTGCTTTGGTAATCTCCCGCGCATTACTTCACCACCCCTAGCAGTCGGAGCATGGAAATTTATAATTCTGAGTCTGATTCGATTTTTGAAAAAACCGTTTCCATTCATCTTTCGGTTTCAACTACGACTGAGTTAATTTTATTTTAAACCTCTTTAGTGAACAATACAATAAAGCAAATCAATAAAAATTTATGGGTCCAGAGGACGTCCAAAGGGGTTGTTGAGGTGAAGAGTGAGGGGAAGGGGACATGTAATGAATCCAAGTCTCTGAAGTGTATCTATGTCTTAGATACTTATTTCGTAGGGGAAATTTGATGAAAAAGCATAACGCTCCAGATTCGACAGTCGAAAATGAGTGGTTGGAAGCGTAGCATTCAAGAAGGCGCGACGAATACCGCAGAGTCGCATAAGAAGTTTGAACGCAAAAAGGGTCGACCTGACGTTTTTTGGTCATAACGGGATTTTCAGAACAAGAACGAAAACTTTAGTAAGGGGCTTTGGATTGATGGCCAAAATCAATGATGGGACCCAATGAAAAGCAGGACTAAAACTAGAGCAGAATCCACTACACCAAAACACTGCGTGTGTTGTGCCATCGAGGATCGTTTTTGTTTCAGCTGAATGTTTGAGTCATTATAAGAGCGTTGGAAAGTTAGCAGTGAAGGGTGATTTTGCGAATTTTTTATGTTTTGTTTTTCCTTGGTTTTGCTGCTTTATGCTAGAGTTTACACACACTTCAGTCGATAGCTGTGGCTCACCATAAATGTAGTTAATAAAAAAATAAATGAATCAATAAATAAATGGATGAATGAATAAATAAACAAATAAATAAACAAATGGAGAACGGGACACTGAAAAGGAACGACAAGGCGTGAAGTGAGTACTAGCTGAGAGCGCAGGCAAAGTTTCAGCGGTACATACGATCTTTTGGCTAAAACCTGCCCTCAGAACTGGTAAGCATGCTTACGTCCTGCTTACCTATTCCTTCTGTAAGCGCTATGGGAGGCCTTCTTCTTTGCCGTTCCTTGCCTGTCCGATAGGATTGTAACACTGACTCACCTCCAACTCCGCAATAGGCTTCACATTCTTGCCGAGTGGCAAAGTTATTTGAATTTCCGTCACATCCCAAATACTCGAACGACTCGCACTCCTGCAAAGAAAACAGTCAGAATGTGAATCGTCATAGATGAAATATACTTATATCAGGGAGCTTTAACAACGACAGCTTTCAATCAAACACAATCAAGCAATGTACAGGGTAGCCCAAGTAAGGCTATGAAGTTCCGTTATGCGTTAACCATAACATCGAAAAAAATACGGAATTATTAGGGTAACGGACTAAAATTGGGCCAATGGATAAAAGTGGGATTCGATCAACCCACGTAACGATTGCAGTTCTGTAGCACTTCCTACTCACCATCAGAAGGAAACTCACAAGAATATTAACTTCGAATCCACCACCATCCTACAGCGGAGAAATCACGAAATCTCGCTTTTCCTTTCTTCCCTTCTCCTTCCCACCCTCAACTTTGACTCGTTTCCATGCAATTTTACATTTTCGAAATGGAGGGAGTCTGTTAGCATATAATTTATGAGCATCGAACGCCTTAATTCTTATCGATGACGGAGCTGGAAATGTCATCTGATTCCGAACGGTAGCAAGGCTCGAAAAATATTTGGAATTTTTTTTCAAGTTCTAAGATAAATTCAATACAAGGGCCGTCGTATATACTCAATGCTGGAAATAAAATTGGCATACGTTCAGCAGCGAACAGGTACTATAGCCATGCTTATCCGATAACTATTGCGCCTTCCCTTCCGACCACCTATTCTGAAAGGTTTAGACTTCAGTATTGGTGGAAACTTGCGTTCGACGTCGTGCAAGGAGGGGACTAAGTTCCACGTACGGAAGGCTGTGCCGAAGCGTGTACACTTTCTAACCTACACTGGCTTCTAATCAATGCTTTCTAAAGTTCAAGACTAATGGTAAGAATGCATATACGGTTGGACGAGATGGTGCACTGCCCAACGACCCCGGGCCAAAGGCTGTGAATTAAATCAAATCGAAGGGTTGAGACTTTTTCTGAACGTCAACTGACCTGTGTTTGGGCATTGTAGTAGAATTTAAAAGAGACTCCTGGACCGCAGGTTTTTCCCGGATTCGATGACAACGAGCACGTGAACGCTGGAAAGATGTTTGTGACTATGAATATGAGCTGATGGTGCCGCCGCATGTCCACGAACCTTTTGCTGGACAACATCCGTACATGTTGCCATCGTGGTAGCACTCGTAGTTGATGGGACATGATGAAGCAGCACGGTTGGTTGAGCAGGTAACGAATTTCCCCGAAGTGTCCTTATAGGCTTGGCCTTGTAGACATCGCGGTTCCGCTGAAATATTCCAACTAGTCGAGGTTAGAGATAGCTAGGAAATTTCCGTCAACCGGATTACAACTGTAATTGAATAAATACACTATTCGATAAAAACTTTACAATGAAAAGCGTAACACTTACGTGCAGCATTTCTGCAAAAGGTCTGGCAATCGACGAGAGTCTCAAAGTTGTTGTCGTTGCCCTGGCATCCTGAATAACTATTTACAGTCTGTTTATGTATCAACCGAAGGTCAGTAGAGCACCCACCTGTATATTCGAAAGACTGGCATTCTCGTGTGGCCGCTGAATACCAGTAGCGCCTCACAGAGCGATCGCAGTTCCCCACACGTAACGGTTGAGTACATATCGTCTCTTCAAATCTATTTTATGAGAAAAAACATCAAATGTGTGAAATCACTCACGCATTCGAGGACAGCAGACTGACTGATCAACCCTGCATTCATGAGATGAAGGGCAATCGCTGTTCGATTGGCAGGACTGAGTGACGTCGCCGATTCTCAGTGGATTTCCACGATCACACTGCACTGAAGAGTAGAAAAGTCCGATAAGTTGGTTAAGGAACACTTCAAATTGGACGTAGCCTCATAGCCTGTTGTTCTCTACAGAACAGTTGCCAAAACTCCTTATCCCTAGTTCCTGGACACATTTTTAAAAAATTTTTCTACTCGTTATCTAAGCAACCTGAACTTTTCTACCCCTTTCCCCCACTCAAACTTTTTACCGCTTTTCATGTGATTCCAGATTTTTATCAGATCTTTTTGTGTTATGTGAAATTACATAGAAATGAGTCCTCACTTCAAGAATGCTAGATTACAAAACACTTGGAGAACACTACAATAGAGAAATGAAGCGTACTGCCCACTGTACGAGCGAATTTCACACTAACTGATAGATCAAAAGACTTTCTTGATGGGACCATATGATTCAACTCTCGATTTTGAAAGGCCAGTGAAGTATGTATGAAATGGGGGAATTTCGAAGGTTAAGTAATTCCTTTCACTCTGAGTGCCGACTTTTGTGGGGAAGCAGCAGATAACAACATTGTTCAGAAGAAATACGAGAGTTCTACGATTACGAATGCGATCACCATATAGTTTTACTCGAGTAAAACCCGTAAATTATGTAGTGATCGTTTATGACGATGAGGCGAAGACGGTTTTAGACTGAACTGAAGCAGCGAGCAAGTATCGGTGAACTCCGGAAGATTATCACGTTTTCGTGACAAAATTCGTCATCTCAAAAGCGTAACATACGTAGTTCACCTTTATGATTACTGAAGAGGATTATGCATGCCCTTTTTATCGGTTGCATTCTCTTATGGTTATGACCTTTCGCCGACAAGCTTGAGTCCTTTTATGACCGACCGCTCACTCAGCTGCTTTGCCTTAGCATTCTAATCACCATAATTTTTTTGAACACTTAATTCGAGGAGAGATAGACTGCCTCAATTGTAGACAGAGCAATGCGCGAAAGGCAAATTATAGCAAAAATGAAAGTAGAAAGAAAACTGAGGTCTTACGTCTAGCGCAATACAGCTCACAGTCGATTCTCGACAGGAAGTTGTTGTAGTTCCCTGCGGCACCAAGATACGTAAAGGGAGAACATTTCCCTGTAGCTGGATCATAGAAGAAGCGTGTCGAAGGTGCTGTGCCCTGAAAAAGCTTTTAAAGTGTTCTTACTAAAAGTATTCGATCATCTCCAACCTGCTTTTCGACACCTGAATGGTAAACAGAGCCACGGGAGTAGATCGAAGTGTCGAGCGGTCGTCCACCAATGGGGCCACATACAGACGCTAAAAGTGATAATTGGAAGAATATCGCTCTATAACATCCCTTTGTTCCTCGGTTGACCCACCAACACTGGGGCAGCACCACTGTGAGCTGCCTACACTTTTGCACTCGAAATTGTTTGAGCAAGTCGTCGATTGGGAGCAGCCGGTGATCGGCGTCTCTTCATGGAATGATAACCGTGACTCGTACTCGGGTGCTCCTCGCGTACAACCTAAAGCAGTACACTTGGATTGGAATGATTTCAAGTAAGTTTTGTGCTTCCCTAATTGTATACCACTTTCAACACAACAATTACAGTAGTTCTGAGGGGCTTAAAGTCACTCTTTGGGTGAACAGTTCTTCTTCAGAAGGAGGAAATTCCTTAGTATGGGCTTGAAATCAGATCCTTGTCTCACCGTCTCTGCAGTAGCTTTCACAGTGCTCGATAGTCTTGAAATTGTTAGGCGAATGTTCTCCTGGACCGACAGCGGTTGGATCCCATAAGAACTGTTGGCACATTCCTAGAAAATAAACTTTGTCATTAGTTCTCTAAGGTTCCCTAAAAAAACAATTTCTCAAGCTTTATGTCAGATTGAATATTCGATCTGAAACATCTGAAATCACAAGTACCGATTAGTTTCGCTGAGCTTGGAAATTGGGAAGTATAAGAACTCGTTCACTACTGAAAAGAGTAGATAACAAATTGTAAAAAACAAGGTTATTCATGGGCCTACCCTATTTGGTGTGGCGAACGCATTACCCCAGTTTATCTTGCTTGGAGGATCGAACCGACTTAACACCTTCTTAGTAACACCCAGGAGGCTTTCTCGGGTGGTTTGGGTAGTTCTCTTTGCGGGTGGTTTCTTCCTTTTTAGTACCCACTTCCCCAATTTCTATCCTATTTAGCAAGCGCTCACCTGTAATAGCGTTGTACCACCACCGCGGCTCCGTAGGATTCGGTCCAGTGGCAGTCGGTTGAATACAAGTGAATGCTGAAAAAGTGTTTACTGTTTGATCTTCAAAACAGCGGGTTTAGGCGATTACCCCTATTTGGGCAACAGATGCCGTTCGCCTTATCGCTGTAACCGGACGACGTGAGATCGACGGAAGAGACGAAGGCGACGCAGTCGTAGAGATCGGCGATGTATGACTGAGTCGATGGGAACAGACAAGCGGTCGAGCCGTCGCCTAGTTCGTCGCCGTTCTGTTGAGTGACCATACTCTCCGTGTTGCATAGCACTGGCCCAGCACTGTTCGATTGACGCGGATGATGGGAATCAGACAACGCTGAGGTGTACCTGCAATACGTCGAGCTTTTAAACAATGGAAGCAAGTGTGAGCAATATAAAGACGATAAGGAACTTCGAAGGGGAAGTGGTGTTCGGGCAACTTCCCATATCAGGGTGAGTACTTACAAGTGGTGTTTCAGTTATTTAGCATGAATAAACGACCGCTTTCAGCAGCCAAACGAATAGACGATATGTGCTGACGTTAGTCATTGACTGGTCGAGTTGAGTTTCAAATATAAGAATAGGGAAAACGTACCCGGCACCTTCCGGAAGAGGGCAAGTAATAGCGAGGATGTTCTGATTACCGTCCAGCATATCAAGGCAGACATGCCCATCACGCGTAGTTCTCTCAACCTTAAAACTTGTCTTCAGTTCGGTAGAACTCTGGCGTGAATATAACAGCACCCTTCTGTAGGACTTACCTTGTTCTCCCCACAGCGACATGTACCCACACCTGCTGAGGTGTCGCAGAAGGCATCTGGCCAAACTGCAGAGCACTGTTCGTTGTAAACACATCCTGGTTGTCCCGGATCGATCTCTGAAACGTTGTAATACTGTTCCCTCGGCTTCGAACAAAAAAAATGAGAAATGTTACTTTGATAGCAGTATGACTCCGCAGCAATATAAGATGTCAAGCACGAGCAGAGCCCCGAATTGCAGAACATGCCCTGNCGCTCACAGTCAGGCAGTCTGTATTGAAAGCGCAAGCATCTCCCACTCGTCCACTCCCAGTCTGACGCTCCGGTCGATGATGCTGTTCAGACGAGCAGTCTATGATGAAACGTTTGTTATCCGAGCAAATCGGAATCTCAAAATTAGGAGTTTCCTCCTTCGAAACCTTATGTTTGGTAACACTTGAGTAAGTCCATGCTCCAGTGTGGAGAATTACTGGATTGATGATCATTGGAAAGTTCTGTTGTCATGATAGGGCCATGATAAGTCCCAACAAAGCCCAATGGTCAATGGCAAGCCCATAGAGTCAAAGTGGTGTAAAAAAGGGGTTAAAAACGTATAGGTGTAGCCCAAATGAACTAAGATTCAATCGGCATGTGCAGCAGATCGCCTATTCGGTCTTCCCAAATGAAACCCCAACGACTTCTTCCTGAATCACATTCAAGTTTGAAATCACTTTCTTTTCAAGTTATGGTAGAAAAACGTTGAAAGCGTGGACCGAGCTTCGTGTGATGAGCAACTCTACAAGAGGGAAAGCTTCCGTGATTTTCATTTAGTGCTCTTCCTCAAGAGAATGTTGTACAAACCAATTTTTGTGAAAACGGAAATTCGAAGAAGACATAGCTAGTACGACATAGCGGAGAAGACACAGCTAGACACACAATCGCCAATATATCCATCGCGCAAAGTTGGCCTTACACCCGCCCTTTTCAGCCCTATCAACTCATCATATTTAACATTCACGATGATCTATAGAAGTATCAGGGAATGAGTCTTTCGGAGTATATTCATCTCTATTTTGGATACGCCCCTGCCATTTCCATTAAGAACCGTGGTATCATCTTGTTTGGGCATGTAACATATGTACATGCATTGCCATGCGGTGCACACATACAATGTATTGCGGTTACCGGTGCATAATTCTCCAGGATAGTCTGGAACCAACTAATCGGCCAAGGCAGGATGTAAAGCATAGTTGACCTGCATGAGAAGAAAGATTCTAAACGGCTTTCGATCCTCGGAGCACGTGTATGATAATGCGGCACTCGCCACTACCCTATCTCCATCGAGGAAATTTTTGAAATCCGATTTCCATGTTGCTTATCGCTCCTGCGCAGTCGATTGTGTCCACACACTCAACTTTAATTGGATTAATGGTAGCGCTTAGATTCGGAGTTGACTTGCATAGTGAAATATAGGTGCCAGCTGAAATATGCCAGGAAACCTTTTATTTTTCCGGGACAATCCGTATTAGCAACACGATCACATGAAAGCTGTGGTGGGCTTGAGTCAGAATTGGTCAGGATTTCATGCCTGTTTATCTGACAGCGGCTCATTTATAACTGCTCAATCTCATTGAACTTCTTCAAAATACTGTGTTGCAACATCTCTGCGTAAATGAAAATGTTTGCGAAATTACTTGAAAGAGCTACTTTTAATTAGTTGAACAGGTGTTCATGAAGAATCAAAAGGATAAAGGATAAAGTTTTTGGCGTTAATCAATCCCGTCTGAGGGATGCGCCCCCGCACTCGACTTCCATTCAGAATCGTAGTGGCGTAATGAGTGCGTATGTGGCCTATACAATGACCTGCGGTGGCCAGCCGATGTACAAGTCAGTGCTTTTATCCTCCCAGACGAGTCTGGTACCAACTCACCGACCCCGGAGGGATGGAAGGCTTGGTTGGCCGAGGCGGGCATCGATCCGGGATTCGAACCCCTGACCGTGCGTGTGATATAGTGCGCCACTTGCCACTACACCACCTCCGCCCTATCCATGAAGAATTACTAAGTCGAAATAAGTAAGTAATCGTGGCCTATCTTCCAGGATTAATCTTGAGCGGCTCAGATACAAACGAATTAATTCGAATGGTCCTAAAAACTATACTATGCGAAAAAGGAAATGGATGGGACTGTCGAAATATCAGAGCTTGTAAGGAGGCGCCGAGGAGCATCATGTGGGACTCCACAAACATCACTGCATAGATGAAATTTGTTCGCAACCTCCTTGAAAGGGCTACTTTTAAGGTTAACACTGATTGGAGTTGTTATCTTAATAATTCTTATTGGTGGAATTTAGTTTGCTGGATTTGTAGTCATGAAGAACCATTAAATCCGAGCAAGTGAATAATAGCGGCTCATTTTTCAAAATCAATCTTGAACAAGGGCCAAGTATGTATGTGCAAAAAAGTTGAAGGGTTACAAAAGCAACATTATGCGACAGTGGAAATGGCTAGGACTGTCAAAATATCTGAGCTGGTAGGGAAGCTTCTGACGACATTACATGGGACTCCACCAACGGCGGTGTAACTTAGGTGACCGCAATGATCGGCTATACCCGGCCTAGGAAATGTCACAATTTATATGCGCCAAAAACTGTGAGGATGCATTTGGATTTTCGTTGAGTAGGATGTTTTACTGACTTTGTATGAGCATGAGAATGGCAAGAGCGCTTGAGAATCATCAGCCTAAGAATCGTGGCAATAGCTTTTGAAATCACTGATTTTCAGGAGCCTGATAGGCCATGATATACCGGCCTGCTAGACGGGTAAGCATGAACACAAGTGCATCTCAAAATAATACAGCTTCATTCATTTCTCTACAGCTATCTTTCAGATGGATCCCTAGCTGGGCGCATTCCGATTAGAACTGCATATGGTCTGAGCATCATGATTTATTGTTTTGGAAATAGGAAAGGATCAATTTCTCTTTATAACGAGGTCCGCATTTACCCAATATGATGTAAAAAATGATGTTTTATCAACAAATAACAAACACAGTACAATAGTACCTACAATGATTCTCCTTGAGACCATGAGACAAAGGCACGTGAAGCGAAAAGTCACAAGAACGGAAGGTAATCAAAAACTACCTGCTAGTCGTAGAGCCAACAAATCGAGAAAAATGAAGAATAAAGTCGATCTCATAGGAGAAGAAGTGGTTAGGGAGTGATGGGAGAGCGAATGTGAGGTCAGTGGTTAGCGGTTCGTGTGCGGCAGTCACGGAACTGTCAATTTGCGACTGTCGACGACACTTCCTGATGAAGTACAAACATAGCTCGACTCGTTGACAGCAACCTGGTCAGCCGCTGTGCTCTCAGCTGCTAATTCCCACTCCGTAGCAGACGCCACCGATCTCTATCTCCTCGTAGGGACAGCTTCTCTCTAAAAACTCAACACTGAGGTCGGATCGCTTCATTTGTTACTCAAGACAGTTCTCACCACAACGCTCTTCAAGTTGTCCACCAATCAACCTTGTGACGAGTACCAGGAAGCCACCGCACGGACGGGTACCTAAATAGGACAGGAAGGATGTCAGAACTTCAAAGTCAACATCAAATATGTTGTCTATAAGCGATAAATCACCACAATGAAAGCCAGTATTCCAAATTTGGATAGATAGTTTAGGGAAATCCTCGCTAGTTTTGGTCATATTTTTCTCGCCAGTTAGGCATTTGGCAAACCCAGCTGCTAATATGAGAACCCTGATTGAATAAGAAAAATGTGTAAAGGAGTAATCCATGCTACGGAGTACCAATTGTCCATAAGGGTTATATCCTATCTCATGGTTCAGATTACCCACAACTGTTCCAACTTGATTCTTTTCCCTATACTAAAGTACTTGTTCGGATCGTACTCTGACTTATGCTACTATGCTTTACCCATCACATCATAAGGTGTTAATAACGAGAGTCGCGCATTATCAACATTTATCAAATACGTTTTAGATCAATTTGAATAAAACTAGCTCCAATAAGCCAGTGAAAAAAGATTGAAGTGCGATTGGGTCACTGATCCTGACCGATCTAAACACACATCTCTTAGAAACATAAATAGGGGTAGCGGAACTTCTCCCCTATCGCGGCATTCTCCCTTGCGGCATGCGGCAAATGTAACTGCAATTACCGTACTCACCCCGCCTCCCGCAAATCGATAGGACGCGATATTTTTTGTTGATTGCCTTGCTTTTTTATTGGATTTGATCCTTTTTTTCTTCTGTTTCTTTTTCGTTTTCATGTTTGTTAGACTTGATTAATTAATATGACTCCTCCTATGTAAGCGGCGATCAAGATTGCATTGAAATTGAAGGAAGCGGTCAGCCAATTCAAATAATTAAAGGACTCCTTACCTCACAAATTGCGCGCTCCAATCTTCCATCGCAATCCAGCGATACGCGGCGGGTGCGGCGTGTGCGACGCCGTGACAAGGGAGAAGTTCCCGGACCCACATAAATAGGTAGTCTAGGTCGCAGCTGTCAACTGCCTTGGTTGCCACAGGGTTCCGCGAGGAAAATCTCAATATCATTTTCTGTCTGGATCACTGATCTATTGATTGTTAAGGGTCAATAAGTATTTATCAGTTGGGCTATGCATCACACCTCCTCGGCCGCTTATCCACGATTCTCTCAGAAAGATAAGATGTAGCACTAATCAAATCAGTCAACACGATGTTTGATGTGATAGAATGAAATGATTTCTCTCAGAACTCGAACGCTGTGAGGCCATTTGCGGGTATCCCACTCGATATATTTCATAACGCTTCCCTCACGCAACCTCTTTGATTTTTCGCAGACTGAGGGTCACATACAGAAATACAAAGTTTGAGGTCGGATAGCCTAAGCCGATTCCACCCCTTTCTGAAAACAAGCACGTCGAAGCATCAGCCATTCGAGATATTCATCAAGCTAGTGCTCAGTTGCATTGATAATTACGCTGAGAAATACCGAGGTTCGTTAGATGTCGCATTCGGAAGTTAGACGTGATTGGTTCGAATGTGATGGAGCGAGTAAAAACCATTCAGCAGTCGTCTTCGAGCTCGCTTCTACAGATGGGTACGATTTCGGTCCATCTGTGAACTCCTAGTTGGAGCCACACGCCAATCTCTCTATGATTCACGCATGTCTTAATGCGATCCTTTTGGCTTCCTAAACTGTGTTAATCTCGGGGCACAAAAAGCGGTTCGGCTTTTCCGTTGACTCCGCCTCATAGTAGCAGAATCCCTGGAGAACGAGGTGTGTATAACTGGAGCTTCGGAGCTCAACTTTGACGTAAGCGTTCTGTCCGAGTCCGAATTTAGTCGTTTTTAGTTGCATGTTCAAGAATTCCAAATAGATATAAAATGAGTTACTCGAAGGAACATTAAAGGCACAGTTAACGATAAAAATGGTTTCTGAGATTTTCCCTGTGTTGAACTTGTGTTCCTCATGAATAGCACAACGGAAGTACATAATTAGGGCCTCAAGGCCGACCCGAAATGTCTTGAAAATGGTTGAAGAGCAAAATTGCTTGTGACATCCAGGACTTTTCAAGACATTCTCTCTTCAGAGCTAAGCATTCCTTCAGAATAGCAGCTCTCATTACCTGGGAAGGCACTCATTCGGTATCGTGACGGACAGCAGAAGAATTGTTCGGACGATCTGCTCTGTTGGCAAGCAAACCTTAACAGCTGGTATTAGAACTGAATGGGAGGACACAAAAAACCAAAATTTTGAAGTTCTCGAGCTGAAGCTGAATACAGAAATATAAATTAGTACTCTGAATGGAGTTGAGCATAAGATCGATAATTCTGATGAGCCTCAGCCCTCGTTCGCTATGAAAATAGAACCTTAGTCTCTTGCAAAGCAATCGAAGACGACATCGCATGTTAGAGGATTTGGAACTCACCCAATAGGGCAACTTTTCTTGCCCGGTGTGCAAACCACGGGGAGCCGTGTTGAAGGATAGATGAGAGGATTTCCGCGCGGACATACTTCTTGAGCTCCAGTGGTTCCTAATGTATTGGGTCCTAAAGGATTTACTGAAAACTATGTGAGTAGGTCTCACATATGTCGATTCACCTGTAGTTGTTGACATCCTTTGCTGCTTTCCAGAAATTCTTCCTGCAGTCGAGCAACAGAGATAGTCATGATTTTTGTAAGTGCACTCATAGCCTTTTGGGCAGCGTTGCTTGGTGCATCGTTGTGGTAGACCATTGATGAGGTATGGAACCCGTCCAGACGGACACGCTGAAACTGACGCCTACAACAACCAATTCTTCCAAGCAATTCTTCTCACTGAACGTACCCAGTGAAGGAATGTCTGGGATCGAACAGCAGATGTACTGGGTCCGTTTGGAGTTGATCTGGCAGGAGTAACCATGAGGGCACTGCTTGGCTTTGGGGCTGCAAAACACCACCCGACCTGTCTCCGCGGAGAACAACGCTTTCGAGTCGGTATTCGAACACTTTGAAGCTCCAGCTGAGATTTTTTTACAGTGAATTTCAGGGAGTAGCCATCATGAAAATGATTTTCTCATGACAAAGACGGACAATCGCTTGAGTAGCACACCTTTGCTTTGAACTATTTTCGAACGTGCACTGGCGGAAGTGCACTTGCCGTTTAGGTTTACCATATTCGCATTGCATTCACAGATGCCATCAGCACACGTAGATCCTGAAACTGACTGGTATCATGCCTTTCAGGTGATCTCATTTGTCTGAAACTCACGATCAGGACATTGTTCAGAGACGACGCATGGTTTGCCCAGCTCAACTCGGTTGTAGCAGACATTGCCACTTTTGATTTGTTCGGGAGCACATTCTGAAGCATCAAGTTTCTTAGAGATGGGCTTCACTTGAATAAAGGCTTACTTGTTTCTGTTTGGCAGAATCCACCCATCGGTTGAGTGGATGCAGGGCAGAGGCAACTTCCATCATGACAAACTGAACCACCAGTGCATTGTTCAGAATGCTGACACTCTTGTCCGGGAGCTGAACGTGGGAAACACTTCCCGTCAATAGAAATTTCTTCAGCTACACATTGCACTGAAAGATTGCCAGAAATCCTCTGCTATGAATGAAGCTCATGGAAAAATAGAAGCTCACGTTCGTTTGTTGCGCAGCAGATATGATGGCCTCCGACAGAGCGTTGACAGGCAAACCCAATTGGACACTTTGACTGTCCAACCACACACTTTTCGGGCTCTCCGAATGAACCCACGAATGCCACCGAATCGTTTGGACATCCTTAAAGCATGAAATGGCTGGGATTATGACATACTGCTTCTAGCTTGCTCACCTCCACTAACTCCACAACACTGGAATTGACGATTAAGGGAGGAGAACTGGCAAAAGTAACCAGGAGGGCAGGTTGATGAGCCGGCCGTGCAAACTCGGACTTTCGTCCTCTTGTCTCGGTAGGCGATTTGAGCATTCGGACATCCGTCATCTGAAAAATGGTTTAGGCAATGAAATGGGATGAACATAAGAAGGAAGAGTGCGTTCACTTACTGACTCTAACAGATTGCGGCGCCGGATTCGAACCACAGCATTGGTATCTGAAAATAGGAAACTATTTGAACCAGACTGCAAGTGGAAATTGTTCAAGGAGCACCTCTGGTTTGCTGTGGACCACTGACAGGTGGATCCTCCCGGGCAGGGAGCATTCTCCGGATTGAACGGGTCGCAGGTGGCAGTCTCTCCGTCAGAGTTGATGAAGACAAAGTTCCCAGGTGGACAGCCATCTAAAATAAATCCTTGAATTTGATGAGCACAGAGAAGTTTGGGCTGCTAAGTTGGCCAAGAATGGCAGGTGGCGCATCATAATATACGCATGATCGCATTTCAACCCACTGGGGCCGGTTGATTAGTAATGAGCTCGTCTGGGGGTTTAAAAGCACACTATGAACGAATCCAGAAGAGAATTGGGTTACATGGGAAGGAAAGAGCTGGTGTTACGCCACATGCCCAGCCTCCCTTACCGCTTGGACTGCTCATTTACCTGTAGTGTAAGTAGGTACCGTCGATTCTGTTCTGCAGCAAAAACCTTCCACAGTCGAGGTATGCGATCTGAAATAACGCGATGTTTTGCGCTAAGAAAGGCTACCATGTGAAAGAGATAACCTGCAACTGTAACCACGCGGGCAGCTGACGAACGTGCCCATTGTACAAGCCCTAGGCAACTGCGACTGCTCATCCACGAAGAACTCGGCGTCGTCGGGACAGACTGCTGAAGAAGGTGAAGTGTTCGTTGTTATCTGAATTCAGTGCAGAGCTTACGAGGATTTACCGTTGCTGGTGCAGCAAAAACCCTGCGAGGCATTCGGAAGATAGCTCTGGCATGAGTAGCCTTCCGGACACTGGTCACTTCGTCCCACAGTACAGCGTGTGGGGATGGATGTGTAAGGGTCCTTGTACAAGAACTTGCCAGTAGGGCATGTTCCTATAAAGAGAGTTTCCAATGGTGTAAGGTCATTCAAACAATGCGGGAAACATACTTCCAGCAATACTGGTGCAGCAATAGTACTTGTTTCTCTGCATGTTGAAGCGACATAGGTAATTGGCAGGACATGAAGCTTCCACGTTCACGATGCATTCTCGTGGCGACATATCGGCAGTGCTGATGAATACCTTCTCCTCCTCGGGACATACGCCTAGGTGAGAAGAGATCAGTCAAGAATTTTGAGACATACATTGTCCAAACTCGCCTTGGTCAGATGCTCCGCAGCAAACATGACCATTGATAAGAGCGTTGAAAGTGCAGGTGTATCCGTTTGGACAACTGTTACTAAGCGCCTCATTGCATTGGATGGGCATCTGGGAGTTCGGATCGACATAGGCAACATTTCCGGCTGGGCATGCTGTGAAAACAGATTTAACTGAACAGTTCCAGGGCATGCTTAAATCGTTCAATCCTTCAACGACCAAATATTTTAGCTGCTGTCGCATCGCCGCATTCCGAGCATGGGTTCCAAACCCTGCCCCCTCGCCCCACCCTACTTTTCGGGAAACAGTCCCAGAAAATTTAAGAGATAAGAAAGTATTCTAGTTGTACTCCTAATGGGTACTATTGTTGAAGACTGGCTCTTCCTCTCCCTCTATATCCACGGAAATCAAGCGAACGAAAAGAAATTTGCGAATATTCACCTGGACCGATGGCAATCGATAGAAAAATCAATAAGGTAGCAAAGCTTCGACTTACAGCTACTGTAGCAGAAATTGTGACACTGTTGGGTGGTGAGGAAGTTGTTGTAGTTGCCATCACAGCCTCCGAATTGAAATTGGGTACACTTGCTGGTGACGATGTTGAAGTAGTAACGAGTAACGAAATTCGCCCCACACTGCGTTCCCTGCTGGGGAGGCAGGCCACACATGTACGCTAGAAATCAATGGTGTTTTTATGTTTAAAATTTCATATAAGCGATGCGATGAAAAGCTCATTTGAAGTTTAAAAAAAGCCCTGGCTACTTACATCTCCCAATCACTGCATGAACTCACAATCACCAATTCTTTTGCATTCCGGATCCCCTTACTAAAACTCTCTCTTTCTAGAACGTAGCACACGACGGGGTCAACGTTGTGCCAACCGCTTAAGTTATATTTTCTATTTATAGACCTCTCACTCAATACTATAATACTTCCATACAGACGGTGTTAACTAACCTCTCGTAGGACAGCAACGATTGATCGAACCCGTTCCCACGATAACTGGACTGCATTCGTAGGAGTTTGGACAGTTTTCTTGGCTAGAACAGACTGTGAGCATGCCTGAATGGTCTCGAAGCGGTGTCCCACCATACGGACATCCTGAAAAACTTGCAAAGTGAGCATGTTTGGAAGAGAGCACTTCTAGGAATAGATTGACTTGGAGAACGAAGAAAGTCTGAAAGTCTCGCTCACAGAAATGTTGCTAAATATCACTGGTCCATAACTTGAAGGGAGATTCAGCAAAATTCAATCATCAAACAATCAACTAGCGTGACTTTATGGATTATGGGTGTACAGATGTAGGTGATCCGTCACTTGCGATTTCATCTTTCGTATTGGTATTGGTTTCAACACATGATCCGAGGTTCGCTGAGGGAATCAATCCCTTCTATCAGTGTGGATAACCGCTCCACAACCGCGATTCCGAAACGAGTGTGGATAGCACCCAGATCTGATCTTACAGAGAACTGTAGCCACAGAGAGATTCTCCACACAGGAATTGTGGCTATAACGTGACAGTAGGGGGCAGTTACGGTTACAATACTCGCGATTGCCTGCGTAGCGCTTCTAGGGCCCAGTTCTGTTGTGGTACTATCGAGCGAGAGCTTGTTCATTCCTTACTGCACCGCAAAGAAAGCATACGCCATTCAGTAGCTTCGGAAAATGCATAAGAATGTACCGATGGCATTCGGTCAACGTTAACACAGTGAATCATCTGTGCCAAATAACCATCATGCTCGACTGTTGCGCCAGCAGGCCCGATTTTCAATTGACAGTACAACCTTGACTGAGCATCGCGTTCCAAACTGATAAAGTGAGTAAAATCATCCTAGGAAAATTAGGGAATCCTTCCCCATATGAAAGGCGCTGTATATTACTTTGACGGCAGGGCGTTGCTTGAAACATATTTGTTGGTGACCGGAACTAATGGCTATCACGCTGGGATTTGCAGTTCTCGTGCATGAATACAGCAACATGGCCAACCTCCAACACTGCAATGTTGTTCGCATTGCTCCCGGTTTGCAAAGTTATTCGAGTTTCCGTCGCATCCATTATATTGAAAAGTCTCGCAGTTTTGAGTCTGAGCGTTGTAAAAATATCGAAAAGTTGATCCGGCACCACACTGCACTCCCGAGTCGGCGTTTAGTGAGCAGGTGAAAGCTGTAACATTGAAGTTGAATCAAACGAACACGTACGGAATACACTCTTAAGAGACAGCCTACCTTTTGTGGGACAACATCCCCATTGCTCTCCGTCGAAATAGCACTCGTGGTTGGACGGGCATCCCACACCCGGTGAACAGGTGGTGAAGTCTCCGAATTGATTGCGATACGCTTGTCCTTGTATGCACTTCGGTTCAGCTGCAACATTCAGAAATTAGGGCAAACACTGCAGGAAAAGATAGAAAAAAGGCTCACGGATAGCATTTTTGCAGAAATTTTGACAATCCAACACAGTTTCGAAATTGTTGTCGTTTCCTTGGCATCCTGGAAACATTCAGTCGCAATACTGTACAAAAGGTGAACAACACGAAGGAAGGACCGTGCGCCCTTATTTTGGATTCTGCGGCATCTTGATCTCACGCTTCAGAAGTGTGGATTCGATGCTATGAAAACAAGCATGCAGTTGTCCACGAGCTGTGAAAAAGACCTTCTTCAGCTTCACCTTCAGAACAACGACAGAGACTGGAGACTAGATATCGCAAGAAATAACGTATGAGATAATCTCTGCGTTTGTACTTAACCGACCCTATTTGCTTTGAATATGTGGTCAGCTCCTTCTCCCAGTGAAGTTTCGCTCGACTACCGCTAAGACAAGTATCTTGAGCACAGTACCCTCTGCTCTCGAACATATTAGGTTGGAAGGAAAGTCCTGCAACACAATGAAGGTCTTTTTAAAATCATTTCTAAAATTTTCCAGGACAATCAATTTTCGGA